CTATAACAAAGATATCTAAATAAACATCAGTTGGAATAGACTCCCCTTTGATAGTTGATATTGTGCCCAGTGTTTGGCATTGATAGAACAGTTACAAGCTTGTGTCGGTGTTGTACATTGATAGCTCAAGATTGTGCCCAGTGTTTGGCAGCGATAGTTTGCGAGTTGGTGTCTGTGTTTGACATTGATAGCTCAAGATTGTGTCCGGTTTGACATTGATAGTAAAGTGAGATTGAGTTGTACCTGGATTGATACGGGTTTGAGAAACCCTTATGGAGTAGGGCATTTATTACATACAAACTTTTTTGTTATTGTTTTATATTGTAAAAAGATAGGATGCTGACAGATTAAGTCACAATTAAAAGTTAAAATAGTTAATGGGCGCACATTTTTCCGAAAGTCTAGAAAGCATATACCTACGTAATACGTATATCTTATAAGATAAAAGGAGATAATCCTGAAGTTTCTTAAACATATCACAATATTAATCTCATAAGAAGGAGAAAATTCAGAGATAAGTTCTAGGCTTCTTAAACATATCACAATATTAATCTCATAAGAAGGAGAAAATTCAGAGAAAAGTTCTAGGCTTCTTAAACATATCACAATATTAATCTCATAAGAAGGAGAAAATTCAGAGATAATTTCTAGGTTTCTTAAACATATCACACATATTAATCTCATAAGAAGGAGAAAATTCAGAGATAAGTTCTAGATTTCTTAAACATATCACACATATTAATCTAATCAGAAAGAGATAATTTAGAGATAACCTTGTTTCTAATACATATCTCACATTTTAATCTCTCATTAGAAGGATATAAACTCCAGAGTTCTTAAACATATCACACATCAATAATCTCTTTAGAATTAGATAATTTAGAGTTAATCTCCAGGTTTCTTAAACCTACTTATATCTAGGGTTGGGCATATTCCAACTACTTTTTCTAGTCATTTCGTTAACGGTTATATAGTTCAAACCATTAAAAAATAAAAATTTCAGGTAGCCGTTAATTTTAAGAAAAAGTACGGAACGTTTGTTTCGTTATCAGCATTCACAGGTTTTTTAGAATTACCGTTAACTAATGATCTCTAGTTATTAACGGCGTTAACAGAAAATTTTCAACAAACATTAACAGTTAATTCCAGTCATTTACAGTTTATTAATGGCGCGAAGCTCCCAAAAATTGTTAACGGTTAAAAATCGCTAATGGCGTAAAATTAAAAAAAGTTCAATGCAATTTTAAGCAAAAAAACAAGGAAATTTACCGTTTCAAAAATCCGTTCCATTTACGTTTTAAACCGTTAATTTTTTTCTAAAAGCAGCTAATCTGATTTGCCAATGGTTTGAAAATTAGTGGTTTTGCCGTTCGTTAACGAAGTATTCCATTAATTTTCGAAAACCTCTGTTCCGTTAATTGAACGTTGCCCAGCCCTACTTATACCACGTATATTAATCTCAGTATAAAGGGGATAATTCAGTATCAGTGTTTGGAAAATACAAAATAGAAAATTTAAAATTTAAATTTACTAATGTGGACATAATTAGTATTCTTGTGAAATTGCCCTTTTCATGAAAATATCTCTTAATTTAATGTTTTTCTATGAAAAAAAAACAAATAGAATCTTGTTTAATTACAATAATGGAATTCCAATAATGCAATTGTCCGCAGACTACAGAAATAGTCTCTAAAATCTAAAATTTATTCATAAACCCCTGAAACATTCTATAAATAATTTATCCATAAACCCCTGAAATATTCTATAAATGATATATCCATAAACCCCTGAAATATTCTATAAATGATTTAACCATAAACCCCTGAAATTGAGGGGGGGTAGTCTGGAGGGGTGTGGACTGAGAGGGAGGTATTTATAAGATATGATAAAAATACATATCCGACAGTGTATAAATCTTTATAATATGTGTATTTATATAAAAAATATGACATATGTACTCAGAATAGCTTTTCCAAAATAACTTACTCGAGATCTCTAAAGCTAGACATCATAAAATGGTTAAAATGGGCTTCGAATTTGTCTAATTCCTGATTCATTAGATCCCCGATTCTTTCGATGCTCCGTATTTTTTTGTTCTGCAAGCATATATTTTTGGTTCTATTTTAAAACAATGACAATAAAAATGCTGCAGGGTTTTCTGTTTTAATTGCGGATTTCCAATTTTTTAAAAATCTTAAGTTTTGAAGGCAACAATTCAATGTTAACTTTTAATAAAAACCTTCACTAATACAAATAGATTCAGCAATGCATATAAAAAGTCTCTTCAATTTTTAAGACAGGGTCGACTTTGAAGTGTCGAAACGCCTTGGGCTTTCTTTTAACCGCTCTATCTCACTTATGCTTTTCTGTAGCCCTTTATATGTACATTATATTACTGCAATGCACTTGCTGTTAGGTTTGGTTTTTAAGAAGTAATTGGCAAAATACTCATAGATATTTTCTTAAGAGCTTGAGGCCTTTAAATCCCAGTGATGGAGGTTTGTGCAGTTCTTATCAACTTCGTCAAATAAAACGGTCATCTCGGTGAACCAGTTTTCATGTTTTAACATTTAGAATGCAGAAAAACAAACACACTAAAAAACTTAAAATCTGATTTGATATATTTATTTCAGGAGATTATTACTGCTGGGCCAAGAAAAAAGAAAGTCTGCTTATCAGTAAAAGAGTAAGACAGTTTATAGAATAAAAAATGATAAAATACTGTTTTTTAACTAATCATGAGAAAGCCAGTCGCACTGCTTTGCAGACCAGTACGTTAAACTAACACACACTCTTTTGGTACAGACACACAACATGATTACAGTCAAGGAAATTGCAGAACAATGTTGTCAATTATAATTAAACTTGTATAACGACTATATTTATTGTAAACTTTAATCAAGTTATATTCTTTGCATAGTGTTGACTTAAATATATAAAAAATATCTGTATATTAAACTTATTTTTAAGTAAACAATTAACAATAAACAAATGTACTCTCCTAGACTGTACAAATACCGAGATTCGTATGTACTGTATAAACCTACAGTACACACCTTCGGTTCGGTAAAACTTACACACACTCTTTTGGTACAGACACACCCCCATGACGTTTCCGCCCTGTATAGTTCCCAGAGCCCAAAATTATAGAGAGTACTGTTGAACAAAACTCCAGAGTTTTGTTTTTGGGGTGTAAACAGTTGTGTAGATTTTGATTTAAGAAATTAAAAAAGAATTTAAAATATAAATAAATCAGCTATTATAATATTTCGTGATAACATTAGTGATGTCTACAAAACTGCCTATAACCCCATTCATGAAACCGGGTTTTCGATACTGGATTTCAATGACGATACCCTGTTTTCAGTTTCGGGCGCAGGGGTCCTATATGTCACAATCAAATGTGCTCCCTGACGCTTATCTTTATAAGAACCTTAAATTTACCCATGAATATTGTATAATATATATAAACAACGTGTCCCACGAAACATGGCAGTAGCATGACGACTTAAATGTTGTCTGTGATCTTAGAATTTATTTGTGACATTTAGTCGTCAACCTTTTTTAACATGTATGATTCTTGAAACAGTTACCACAAAACCAGAGATATTAAGACTTTGTTCAGATTTCATTTTTGCTTAATTTGAAACAAAATTGTCGAAATGTTAACGAAATTCTTCATATTCTCGGGTAAAATTGAAAGGACAAATAAGCAGACCACATTTGGGAAATGGCAGGACCAGAGTTGATAATTAACTCTAAAATTTTACTTCAAAAATCAGGTTGACAAATAAATTCAAAGACGAAGTTCAAATAGTCTTGCTACCGTCATGTTTCGTGAGACACCCTGTATAAATACAGATCCTAACTTAACACTGTTTCCTTGAAACCTTTCCGCAAAGTTGAGTTTAATTCTATATAAAACTGGGCAGAGCAGAGCCTCCAGCACTGTTCTTTGATAAATCTAAAAATAAAACTCAATTCTAGGAAAAAAAGAAAATGATGATGGAGAAATTGCATATAAGAAAATTCTTATTGTGCAGATTGTAAATATAAAAATGTTTGACAGACACTTCTCAGTCCTCAATGCACTTAACAATGCATCTGAAACTTTAGTTATTTTAATAAATTATCCCACGGTGAAGTCGGGTCAATTTGAATTCGAACGGGACAAATCGCGACCCCTTGTACAGGTAAGCCCGGCAAGTGCTGGCCCCCCTATCGTATGCCTGCTCGGTTTCAACTTAATGGCACTGCCAGACTTTTAACAGTACCTGGCCTATCATAGGCCTATTGAACCTACCCCACTAGATTTGTGTCTTTTGATCCTAAAAGCGTACAATATATATCTTATATATACTAAAAACATCAAAAATAATTTATAAAAAAGGGTTTTGGATTTTTTAAATGTTTTAAGTTCTGTGTGCTTGGTGGGCCTAGAAGGAGTTCTTCGAAATGGTGAATATGTTGGACATGTTAGACGCGCTGATCATGCATTCTACTTGGAACAGGTTCGTCTGACTGATGTCAGTCATTGATATTGATTTTATTATGTTTGATAATTTTGTTGTTGTTCTATTGTCGATTTTCTTTATTTAACACTAATTTATTTGATCTTACAGAATTCATTATTTGAATCATCAAATGTTTATGACGTTGGGTTGAAAAGAAATAGGTAATAGAACATCAGAGTTTGTGGCAAAGACTCAACCTTTTTCAGGTTTTGTTTTTACTTTCAGGAAATTACATATGCGCATATCAGGATATATTTCAGGAGATTGCATATACTTATATCAGGATATATATTTCAGGAGATATCATATGCTTATATCAGGATATATTTCAGGAGACTGCATATGCTTATATCAGGATATATTTCAGGAGATTGCATATGCTTATTTCAGGATATATTTCAGGAGATTACATATGCTTATATAAGGATATTTTTCAGGAGATTGCATATGCTTATATCAGGATTTATTTCAGGAGATTGAATATGCCTATATCAGGATATATTTCAGGAGATTGCATATGCTTATACAGGATATATTTCAGGAGATTGCATATGCTTATACAGGCTATATTTCAGGAAATTGCATATGCTTATATCAGGATATATTTCAGGAGATTATATATGCTTATTTCTAGATATATTCCAGGAGATTACATATGTTTATATCAGGATATATTCCAGGAGATTACATATGTTTATATCAGAATATATTTCAGGAGATTGCATATGCTTATACAGGATATATTTCAGGAGATTGCATATGCTTATACTCTATACAGGATATATTTCATGACATTACATATGCTTATATATGCTTATACAGGATATATGTCAGGAAATTGCATATGCTTATATCAGGATACATTTTAGGAGATTGCATACGCTTATATCAGGATATATTTTAGGAGATGCATCATTGCATATGCTTATATTAGGATATATTTCACGAGATTGCATATCCTTTTATCTGGATATTTTTTAGGAGATTGCATATGCTTAAATCAAGATATATTTTAGGAGATTGCATATGCTTATATCAGGATATATTTCAGGAGATTGCATATGCTTATATCAGGATATATTTCAGGAGATTGCATATGCTTATATCAGGTTATATTTCAGGAGATTGCATATGCTTATACAGGATATATTTCAGGAGATTGCATATGCTTATATCAGGATATATTTCAGGAGATTGCATATGCTTATATTGAAAATAAGAATGAAAAGATTACTGCGGCCTGGTTGCAAGATGGAGAATATCAAATAGGTGAGATTCNCCTGCATCATATTTTTTATTATTATTTGCAATATCATTTTAATGGTAGTCCCCAGTAGGTCTGGGTAAAGTTCCGTTACGAAACGGAGGTTTCCGAAAATCTACGAAAGAGTCCGTTAAAAAACGTCAATAACAGTAATTTTTAAATCGTTAACGAAACGGATTAGCTTTTTTTTAAAACAAAATTACGGTTAACAATTTAACAAATCGTAAATTTCAAAAAGCAACTGTTAACGGTGGAATATCTTCCGTTAATGTCGTCAATAAAATTGAGATCGTTACCAAATGGTAACGATCTAAAAAACGAAACTAAATGTTCCATTCTTACCTTTATAACTAACAGTTACCTGAACATTTTTTTTAACTGTTGTAAACTAATGTTAACGGAACGGCTAGAAAAAGTTGGGAACTTGCCCAGCCCGAGTCCCCTAGTGCCTATCCCTAGTCCTCTAGTGCCCTTCCCTAGTTCCCTAGTCCCCTAATCCCCTACTGCCCATTCCTAGTCCCCTATTTCCTTAGTGCCCATCCCTAGTCCCCTAGTTCCTTATAGTGCCCATTCCTATTCCCCTAGTCCCTTAGTGCCCATCCCTAGTCCCCTAGTTCCCTAGTGCCCATTCCTAGTCCCCTAGTCCCTTAATGCCCATTCCTAGTCCCCTAGTCCCTTAGTGCTCATCTCTAGTCCCCACACTATTCAAGGAAAACCCCATGAATCTAAAACCCTGAACTCAAGGACCTTTGTTCTTGGGACATTACGTGCAACTTTTTACGGTGACGTTTTTTTGAATAGAAGAAAAAGAAAATAAAAGATAAATAATTGAAATAAAAAAAATTTGAAAGTAATATTTTAAAATGTTTTTTTTTTCATGAACAGAAAGCAGAGGAGCTGTTTATCCTGCAACACTTCACATCAAGTCCCCATTTGACCCTAAGAACTCCCGCATCCGAGGTACAACTTGGAACTGAATTGAAAAGAAAATATTCAATTGGAATCTACTAATTTGAGCGACTGCCTTTATGATAGGAAATAACTTTTTGTTTTTCTAGAATTTTCTACTTTTTAAAGGGCACCACACAAATACTGTGCACCTACGAGAGCTCCAACATTTCAGAACTGGATCAACTAAAACTATTCTCTTGTGGACTTCATTAAAAATGTTATCCTTAGAGAAAATAAAAGGCAGAAACTAACCAAAAAATGATATTTTTTGGCTCATTTTTGTGAATATCTTCTCTCAGAGTAAAAAAATGGAACCTTTTAAAAATTGAAAACATCAAAAAGTACCAAAAACCAGCAAAGTTATTTCACATCAATAGTTGTGGGCATAAAACCTTAAACAAAATTGACACTAAATCATGCTTGGGTCACATTTTCCCCTTTCAATTTAGCAATAATCATTTAGACTTTCTGTAATTTTCTATTTTGGAATATACATTACAAATTAAAAATTATGAAAGTTAATTTAGAATTGATTCACTTTATAAATTTGATGTTTCAGGAGAATACGGAAATCTGCCTGAAAGCTTGGACAAGCTGAAAAAAGTTGAACTGTTATCCAACTTTAAATAAAATCTGTTTAACAAAAATAAAACTTTGTGATAGCTTATGCACAGCTATTTAGCATTATGTACTTATAGCTAGTATTGTACAATGTATACAACACGCATACTTTGTAACACAGCCTGTACAGTACACGTCCAACTTTAAACACTGAAACTAAAAAACTGAATCCGAAACTTAATACAGGATATTTGGATGAAACCCAGTATCGGGAACTTAATACAGGTATCGGGATGAAACCCAGAATCGGGAACTTAATACAGGGTATCGGGATGAAACCCAGTATCGGAAACTTAATACAGGATATTGGGATGAAATCCAGTATCGGAAACTTAATACAGTATATTGGGATGAAACCCAGTATCGGAAACTTAATACAGGATATCGGGATGAAAACCAGTATCGAAACACGGTTTTAACAATGGAGTTAGACAGTTTTGTAGACACCAATTTTTTTGTTGATAAAATATTATTATTTTTTCCTTTGTATTCTATTTTTGTTTTCTAGTTTCTTAAATCGAAATCTACACAAAAAAGAAACTTAACGATACTCTCTTGAATTTCCGGCTCTTGTGTAATTGTTTTAAATTATCTGTAAAGTATACACATTTTTAATCTTTATCCTAGTATAGATGTATTTTTTTGCGAATAAATCGTGTTAAACTAGTAGTTCGTACACATTTTAATCTGTTAAACAATCTGTACAGCAATTTTGAATACATTTTAAAGCTATTTAATGGTGACATCATGGAACTCTGCATTTATAGATTTCATTGCTCTGTCGTTAAAACATCGGTTTTAAGTTTATTCCCACGGGCGACTTCCCGAGCCGGACAATTTTCCAAGTGGCAAAATCGGTTAGTTTATGCTCTCTGAGACGCTGCTGGCTACAATGAGGGCTCAGCCAGACTTGGAGAAGTTGCTGCTTGGGAAATTGCACATTTGGGAAGTTGCCACTTGGAAAAATTCCTTTGGGAGAGAACCTATAATCTTTGAAACTTTGTTGCACTTAAATAACATTTACAACTTTATAGATGCATTGCTTTAATCTTGGTAGAAAACAACTCAACAGTAGCAATTGAAGTTGTATGAGAAGCAAAAGTTAGTTCAGCCGCTGATATCGTATATTTTTAGTGAATATTTCTGCATTCAACCACGCTGTGGTTTTGCACTGTACGGAACATTTATTTTCATAGTTTGTTTGTTTTTAAATTGTTTATTTAACGCGGTTCAATATAAAAAGGTAAAATTTAAAATTTGTATTTGTGGCGGTTGAAGGAATAAAATAAATGTGGTTCCTTTGGCGACAAATATAGCATTTATATAAAAAGTTGATTTTAATTTCTAATACTAAACTTCACCGAGTTTAAGCATCTATGTCTATATATAAATATCATTAATTTACATGTTTTCAGATTTTAAATTTCATATTTAATTTGAGCTTGATTTTTCATCTGAAACATCATGTAACAGTTAATAAAAACTTTTAAAATATTTTTTTCTTCTTAATATTTAAAAAAGTTAAGTCTACAGTATTGAAAACAACTGAATAAACGAAATTAATTAATAGTACTGTATTGCTCTTTTCAGATATAAGAGAAAAACAAATAAAATTTGCGAAATGTATTTGTATATGTATGTACAAAAGATTTATTTGTATATGTATGTACAAAAGATAAAAGTGGTTTATCTTGTTGTATGGTGTAAAGGCATATTGGACCATAACACAAAGTGTAAATTTTTAATCCTAACATTTTTGCAATCTAATGTTGCAAACCCTTGGCATTTAAAACTATGATTTCTGTTGGAAATGCCATCAGGTTGCAAACACAGGATTTAAAAAAATAAGTGTGTGTTAAGACTCGGTTTTTTATGAAAGAAAGCCATGTGAAAAATATTAAGAGGTTTCGTGAATATAAAAAATATCTCCCTCATTCAGAAGGGAAAGGTCAAATTTATGCAACATGACTGGTTCGACCTTGCGACCTCGTATCCTCTCTAGATTTAAGTATGAGAAAACAACATAATCGTGTAACAAATAAGAAATACAAAACATTTCGTTTCAGTTGGAGGAGTTATAATTGAAAACTTAAATATTTCAATCCTACGTATATTATTTACGTTTAGAGTGCCTTGTCTTTTTACCTAATTTTTCTTGAATAGAATACTGTAAACATCTGATAAATATGATTTTTAAAAGATGGCAAACATTGATTGGAAGCGTCATTTTAAAGGAAAAGAATTCAGCTTATTATAAAAAAACAATTTACACGTTTTTCCTTGAAGTTTTTGCCAACTTTCTAAAACAATTATGAGATTGTATTTTATTAAATAGGATATATTTCTTTAGAAGTTAGTAATTTGAAATTTTAACTAAGCTATTGTTTATTCACAAAGCAGGAAATTAAGAATTGAATTAATCTGTTGAAAGCTTTCTTAGTTCTGAATTTTATTAATATATACTCAGAAGCCCAAAAAAAACTAAAGAAATTAGATATTCTTCGAATTTGAACTTTGAGGGAATCAAATCTATATAAAGAGGAATTTTAAAACCACTTGTGTAAGTCTTTACTTATAACGTTATAAAGTGCCCCATCCTCAAACCATGGTTTTATTATCCTTATATCTTTGCAATCATATGTTTTATATTTTTATATTTCAAATAGCCTAATTTTGAAACATCAAAGGTTTACACTATTAGACTCCAAAGATGTAGGGATTAAAAAATTGAGTGTGTGACAATAACTCAATTTCTTTAAAGCGTTAGTAATATCCATGACGTACACGGTAATACTAATTCAACTAAGATTTTAAGTCTTTAGGAAAATGGAAGAAAAGTCGATATTTGTTGGTGGATATTGTGATTAGCTAAACAAAGCCTCTTATCTTTATAAACTGGATTATTTAAAAGTTGCATAATTTAAGGAAAACTAGACAAAAAACATAAGTTCTAAAACTTTTTTATGACATTTTGCTCGTACTACGCACTTCGTATGCAAAGAAATGTAACTGAGTCGTATAATCGTGGTTTGAAGTTGTTTTCAAATAAACCAACTGCAAATAGACTAATATATCAGGATTGAAAATTGAGATACAACCTCATTTTGACCAATCTTCTACAAAAAAAACGAAGAGCAATACGTTCTCCGATTACATAAAGTTTATTTTTTTATGTTCACTATACAACTATCCCATGGTTTCAAAAAATATAGTCCCCCCCCCCCCTTTAAATTTTGGTTCATAAAGCACACTAATATATACAACCGCACACTAGGTACACTAGATGGGCTGGTACGAGTAAACAAACCATCAGAAGATCCTTGTACTGGTTCGGAGCATACAACTTATAAACTTATGTGGAAACCTCTTCTTTTGATTTCATGAAACACTAAATCTAAGTTTATAAGAAAGGTGGTTTATGTATTGAAGTTACGTCCAATAACTTCAATGTGAGTTAAACTTAGGTAGGGAGGGGGCGGGGGTAGAGGGAGTGTATGGGGTAGGGTTTTGTTTTTATTCAACTGTAACGTGCTGGGACTTCTCAAAAACTGGTTTATTGCCTTCCTGTTTACAATCTCTGATTCAGTGTTTTATAAAACTAGTTTTATAAGAAATCCTTCTCTTTAGTTTTACTTATATCGATTGTAATTGAACTTTAAATATTTTGTCTTCTTATTCTTAAGATATTATTGATATGAACACAAGGTTCGTACTGCGTACATTATTATAAGATTAGGAAAATATTTTTGTTAAAATTTTACAATTTCTTCTGGGGTCTTGGTTAGGACTCCGAATAAACCTCCTTCTCCTCAAATTCTCTCTTCATCCCTTCATCTTTTCTCCGGCTCCGAGAGTCCGTGTTCTACTACCAGAGTAATAGAGGAACCACAGTCAAAACTACATTGTACACAGCAAACGTGTATTTTTGTTTTCTTCTTAGTCAGATCAATGCATGGTCTGAGTAGACAAGTTTCTATACTTATCAAATGATTTCTATACATTGCAAAATTCGTTCATCCTTGGAATAATAAGTTGACATTAAAGACAATTTTTCTTTTTGGTAACTTAGCAACTTAGCAAATTTAGTTTTAACAGTAGGTTGGAAAATTAAATCACTTAGTAAAAGGTACCTACAGGGTGTCCCAGGAAACATGACAGTAGGTGAATAGTTTTAAATGTCTTCTTCCATAATTTGTTAGGTTCTTTGATACCAAAGAGAATGATAAAAGAACATCGCTTGGTAGTATTATTATAATAAAGTTGATTTCAAAGCAAAATATAATAGAGTAAAAGATTTGTTTAGCAAAATAAACTGCAAAAAGTCTTTGTTAAATAATACTTGATATGGAAGAATACATTCAAAACTATTCACCAACTGTCATGTTTTGTGGGACACCCTGTCGTCAAATCATTTCTGTAGAGGACATTTACACTGTAATATATGTTGTTTTTTACTTAACTACAAAATGCGAATTAATTAAATGGAAATTATTTCTGTTACATGGCAATTTCAAAAAATGTATAGCTTATTTTATTTCGTGGACTTTTTGTTTTTGCACATTTTTTGCTTAATAACTTGCTTTTTCAATAAATATTTGACATTTTGCAAATTTGCATTTATTTTGATCATATATTATAAATTTGTAGGAAATAGATGGGGCGGTCCCTGGACCCCCCCCCCCCCCCCCCCCCCACCCCCCGACTATTTTTGGTAAACCAGACGTCAGCCTGAATAAGGTTAAGGCTATCTAAAGAGCTATAGAATGTTGAAATCCAATGACTTTAAGTAGGTCTAAATATAGATTTATTCTGGTAAAGGACTCAGGCAAAAAGTTTTAAGTCTAATGTGAGAGGAATGTTAAAGTGGTTGACCCCCACCCCCCCGTCAGCAAAGGAAAATTTACGAAATTCACGATCGATCAGCATTGTTAACGATCACAAAAGTTTTTTAAAATGGCGATTCAGCTCTAACCATTTGTTAAAGAACGTGGAATGAACGATTTTACAAGATGAAAAATGTACCCAGACTTACATTTGTAAAAATTGTTTTTTATATTGATATGAAAAATGAAAAAAGAAGAAATTTTGTTTGATGTACGCTGTAGCTACTCTAAGCATTTTTTATCCTCATGTTAAAGGAAAACTCTGTCAAGAAACTATTTCATCGATATCAAACTTTCTAATGTTGTATTAAAAATGTCAAGATTAAGTTTCTACAAAATGACAATTTTCAATCAAAGATTGCAGAAAACTGTCTAGAGATAATGAACATCCTTCAAATATTTATCACAAAGTTTCAATATTTTTGACACTGTTTAAAGTTGGGAATTGATTGCCCCCATTTTTATATTTTTATATCATTCAATAAATTTATAACCTTAACGTAATATTATTTCATGGGGTCAAAAATACAATATAATTTTTATACACATTTATATTTTTAGCAGTTTTTAGTAATACTTTTTTTCTTATTTTAAAATTTAATATATTATGTTATGTCTGATGTCTCTCAACTTTTTCTTATACTTTGTTATTATTCTTTATCCTTTTTAGAATATTTTCAGAAGCTAGAAATCCGTACAAAACCAAGAATGAACAATTCCAACGCCAGGAAACCTATCTTTTTAAATATGAAGAAAATTCAATTTTTCTGAAGTAACTGTTAACTTCAGCAAAATTATTTAACTGATCAAAATAAAAATGGCCAATCCTGTTTTAGAGGAGTTTAGCTACTTTAATAATTGTACAAGTACTCAGTTTGTAAATGTTTATATACTCGACATAAATAGTTCCAAGGATCTATGCTACAGCTAGTTGGACGGACAGAGAACTATAATATTTGTCGTAATATTAAACCCATGTTTATGGACTAATATGAAAAACATTTATGACAATGATTGTGCAAAACAAACTTTATATCAAGGGCATGCCTCCGTATTCGCAGATGAGTATTATAATGACCTGGCGCACTCCTGTATGCCGCGTCCATTAGCGCCTGATCCAATCAGGGTTCAGTCATATGTTTGTTTTCTATTCTAAACCAATAGAAATAGTATGGCGGTAACATCTATCTTTCTATCTAGCTCATTATCCAATAAGAGATGAATCCTTCTATAAGCGCTATCAGAAAATGGAAATATTTACTTCTACTGAAACTTTAGTGGGCGCTACCCCTAAACATTAGAATACATGTTATAGAAGTAAAAAATAACATCTTTTAAAGAAAAAATTTAATCTTCAAATAATTATGCAGTGTTTATTTATCCAAATAACATTACATAACTATTGAAATATTACATATTTTTCAACATTTTTTATGCCTTACTTCTATATAACATATATTCTAAAGGATAGCGGTAGAGCGCCAGGTCTTTTTAAATACACATCTGCGAATCTAGAGGTTTGGCAACCATTTCGCGGGGCAGATGGCGGCACTGCACCCCCTCTAAAGACTAAAGACTAAAGTGAAGCCAAAGTTCAAAGTTAGCCCCGTCTCAATAGTTGATTTAACGAAAGGTTTGGTGTGCAGTGATGAACTGGTGTTGGATTATCTGGATATAGATCTAGATAATATCAAGTACTGGGCAGAGGGGGTTCTACTTACAATCATCTCAGTATTTGGGATTACAACTAATGCTATTAGGTCAGTTTGTCAACTAGACAAAAGAAGAAATTGAGTTTTTGTCACAAACTCAAATTGTCTAATGCTTATTTCTTTGCAACATGATGGTGTAAACTTTTTATATTTTAAACTTAGATCACTTTAACTAACAGAATTCATAGTTTGAAATATCTAAGGTCTACGACATTGTGTTCTAAAGATATAGGGATTAGAAAATCAGAGTTTGTGGCAACGACTCTATTCCCTTACATCTTTGAAACCTTGAACAGTGATAGCCAGAAAACTGTAGAGTAGAAAGACATTTTTACAGCAATACTGAAGTGTATTTGAGATTGTTAAAACGCAAATAGCTTCACCACTAAGTTATTAAATAACTTATTAAGTGAAAGGGGTCTGGTTGCACTGCACATTTGCTATGGATCATGTTCATTGGAATATTTATAGTCATAACTTAAGTTTAAAAGTCGAGTTTTCTGGAAATCACTGTAGCTCCACTATGAAGCAAAATTAACCGTTTACTATTGTAAATTCAAAACATTTTTTATAGAGCTCTTTAATTAGAGAACTTAAGATTAAAAACGTGAAAGATTTTAATCTTTCGTGAAATACACTTTGGTTGACGTGGTTCACCTTTAAGTCAGTCACCTTTGAAATCCATTTTCAAACGTTAGATAAAATTTGTCTTATGTCCTCAGTAAACTTTTTTTGTCGGTCTAAATACTTTCAGAGCTGAAAACTTTAGAATGGTGGATATAGAGATTAATGCTTGATCTCCTCTTTTTCTTAATCTCCAGATTAAATAATGCTTGTTCTCTTCTTGTTATTAATCTCCAGATTAATTAACCGATCGGGATTAAGGATTTCCCATTCTAAAGTTTTCATCTCAAGGCAGTTGCCCAATTAATGAAGTTACATGCGCTTCACTCATTAAATTGCAAGAAAGAGATAGATTAGTATATATTTTTGGGTTAGGTCGGGTTAAGACGCTTTCTGGGCCGAGCGCTACGGCTGTGACATTTTAGGGGGCCGAGCGCCGCGGCTAGGACAGGCTAGGATCAGCGCGCCGTGAATAGAACAGTCTCTATCTCTGTCTTGAAATTCAACGCGGCATGGGCATATAACTTCGTTGGGCTTCTGCTTAAGCTTTTGATATTAAAGTATATAAAGTCTAAAAAGCTTTCATGACGGATTTTTAATTAGTGATCAAAATATGACACAGGCAGGATCGTACTTCGTAAGATGTTAGTTTTACGAGGTTAGGGAATTTGATAAATACTTTAAAAATGTCTTAAAGGGAGTTTGTAGATATAATTTCAAGTGAAACTTACATTTCAGTTTTACAAAGTTTTACTTTAATTTGACATGTTTTGTGTCTAATTGCATTTATATGTTTTTAAAAACTGTTGCTAATGATAAAGTTTTAAAATTAGTTTGAACTTAATTCCCGGATTACAAAATTTAATTCATTTTCTATATAGTTGTTTTGAAGGAAAACTGGGTTAAAAACAACCAGAGCTGAAAACTTTAGAATGGTGGATATCAGGATTAAGGCTTAATCTACTCTTTTTCTTAATCTCCAGATTACATATTGCTTGATTAATGCATGATTTTAAACTTCAGATTAATTATTCGACGGGATATCTGGATATTTCATTCTAAAGTTTTCAGCTCAGGTTATATATTGTAAGATAAATGTTATCGAATATAATCTAACTCCATGTCTATAGGATTGATTGAGGTTAGGCATAATGCACATTAATCTCTCTAGAAGTGGAAAATTCATCTGGTTTTGATGTCTCACCCTGTATAATGTACTACTTTGTTCTAGCTAGCTGTCTACAAGCTGGTAGTTTAGAGTTATAGGTCTTAAATGAATTATATGATAAATGGTTTATTTGTTACATTTAATTCAATAATAATTCATAAGTCAACGCAGGATTGACAATACACTGTAACACTGCACATTATAGATAATGACAATTTTCATAGATTATTTTAATATTGAAATTTTTATTTTATGACGTATACATTTAATTCGGTAGGGTGTTTATCAAACGTCTTCTTTCCTCCAGTTTGCAGTGATATTTAACGCAGTTTTTTTTAATAAATATATTACCCTGGAGAAGCTCTATGTATTATAGTACTTTTTTATGCAACACATTGGGAGAATATTTCTTTTCCTTACTGTATTAACCCAATTAGACAAAATTCCCAAAGTAAGTAAAGAGAAATACCTAATTATATTTCCATATTTAGTATTTTTTACTATATTAGTTTATATAAAAATATATTGATAGATAAGTTTAGTTTGTACAGGGGGCGGCGGCAAAGTTCGTTGGATTAATATATATTGTTAAGTGGATTTAACTGATATATCTAGCTATATAAGGGGTGCATCAAAAGGGAATTTTACGTACTGAGATAAATGGGATTTTCTAAACACATCTCAATACGATTTTGTTGTGGCCTATGCAACAAGTTAAATTTGGAATTAGTACAGATGCTGCTACCCCGCTTTAAATCAAGTTTTCCGCTATTTTTTCGTTTATTGCGAATGGAAACTGTATCTATTTTTAAGAAAATGTTCAAAACAATTAACAAAATCTGAGTTTTCCTCTGCATGGAATTTACGCCCTCTCTAAAATCAGATTTGTCATTTTTTTTCTGTAAACAAACTGTTTATTGGGGATGCAAGTGCAGATTATACATGCAAAGATGACAATGTTCGATTAACAGTGGTACCCTTGAAACCTTTATTTGATCAATAATGTGGTAAATATTGTCGTTTTTCTAGGTTTAATAGTGATCAATTCCTCATGTGTTTTCTTGAGTAGAAATACGCGTGGGCATGTCACTTTTAATAATCAGTTTTAAAGTTATAAATCTATTGCATACCTGAGCCCGCGATTTAAAAACTTCGGCTCGAGCCGTAATTCCTGAGATCCTACTTTAAGACCCGATCTTCGACCCACCTCTAATGACAGCTTGTGTCACGTGATTGACAGCTACAAGATCTTCGGCTCGACTCAAGGAGTTAGGCCTGTTGAAAATAAAACCGACCTTGGTTGGTTTTAGTGAAGTATAAGGCTCAATGTTGAGTCTTGTTCTCATCAAACCCGGAAATCGGAGTGCGCCAATTCCTACCATGAAAATCCACCAAATAGAATATTAAACTTTTTTTTGAACTCAAAATAAGATACATCTTGAATCTAAAAGCTCAAGCCGTAGATAAGGCCCAACGACAGTTCAGACCTGAGCCGTATTTTGCCGCCTTTTTTTAAATCGCGGGCTCTGATCAGACAAAGCTGTTCAAGGAGCCGTTGTAAATGAGAGCAATACCATCTTTGCATGGATGTTACACCACCTGTAATTAGAGCATTTTCCTTGGAAGCTCGAGTCCTAAATTAGACTCCTCAACTCCCTCTACGAATGCTAAGACATGAGTCTTATTTTCCGCTCCGCTTGATTAGAGCATTTTCCGCCGTATTCTCTATACAATTATACAAATTATACACAACGTCAAAAGTGTCAAATATAACAAAGAAAACGAAATTGTCTCACTTAGTTGACATGTTTTCTGAGATTGAATAAAAACAGAAACAAAAAAAACATAAAATTGCACTTATTTTACTGTAAGAAAAGCACTTTATTCTAAAATTATCACTATTATTGATGATTTTGTCGGACACAAAACTGAATTGACACTTGTGACGACAGAATACAACTGTACTGAGAGTGTACAAATTCTACGTTGCCATCGATTGTACTTAACAATCTATTTGCTCGTGAGTATTTCAGATTTAAAAAGGAAGGCCCCGTCTTCATGTACAGGGTGTCCCAATAAATATGGGAATTCAGTGACGACTTTTATTTCGTCTTCGATCCGTGCGGCATTTTTTCTTGAACACAATATCGAAAGCGCCTAGTCTTCAATATGTGATCTACCATTATTGCATCTTCAAAATTGACGGAGATTTTGTAAAATTTGAAATTTCAATTTATTTAGTAAATCAAAATTGTCCTAGTGTCTAATACCTTCGTCAATTTCTAAGATACAAGAAGACCACTTTATGAAAAGCTTGTCAACCCTACAGCCTCGTTTTTTTACTTTCTTTTCCATGCATTTAATATCAGAAATCAAAACGACTTTCAAGTTGAGTCTCAATTCCCATTTTTATTTGGACACCCTGTAGTATATCGCGTACTGTATGTAAACATCGGCTTAACTTTGAGAAATGAACATCCTTCAAATAAGTTAAAATGGCTTTTTTATATCAGAAATATTTAAAGTTTGGTTTGGTTGGGAGAAATACAGTGTACTAAGATTAATGTGTTGGTAACTATAATAGAGCAATTTGTAAAGTATAAACAAAGACTATAGAAGAGAAAACCTGACAGTACATTGGACGAATAATCCCCTTCTAATGAGATTAATGGTGCTCAGTCAGAACTCAGAAATAAGAATAAGAGCGAACAACGATCCATTGAAGGCTCTAGCTTGGCTTATACGTCATATTTTCAATAACATAATCCATTCTGTACAACTCCAGTACTTGACTGAGAACTAAAAAGAATAAATCAATATTTTCAAGTTCTTAAATTTGATAAAGACTAAAAGGAAGCAGAAGATTAGAACCAAATAATCAATATTTGTGTTAAATATTGAAATGTTGTTAAATAAAATTTGTAGAATTTCAAACCATTAAAGAGAAATAGTTGCAACAAGAGGAGGTAGATGACAGTTTTATGACAGTATGTAGAAATGTAGTATGTCAGTCTATTTTCTATGTTTATATATTAAGCAGTTGCTTATAGTCTACTCGATTTATGTTGTATTTAACAGTTTCTAATATTTAGTCTATTTTCTATGTTTTTGTATTTAGCATTTTCTTTTATTATTATACCCTCTATGTTTATATATTTAACAGTTTCTATTATTTAGTCTATTTTCTATGTTTATGTATCTAGCAGTTTCTATTATTAAGTCTACTCTCTATGTTTAGGTATTTAACAACTTCTATTATTTATTCTATTTTCTATGTTTATGTATTTAGCATCTTCTATTATTTAGTCTACTCTCTATGTTTAGATATGATATCCTGTATCTAGTCTACTCTCTATATTTAGATATGATAATATCCTGTATCTAGTCTACTCTCTATGTTTAGATATGATATCCTGTATCTAGTCTACTCTCTATATTTAGATATGATATCCTGTATCTAGTAACTTCAATATTTCTCTTCGGACTACCAGAGCTCTCTGAAGAATACAGGTTCTTAACTTTGCTATTTAATTTTCTTTATAATTTATAAATCCTTTATAAATTAGAACATGTTCAAAACATGCATGTTATGGGCCAAGAAGGTACAGTGTCTAGGGTACGCGCGTAGCCTAGTCCATTGGCGCCAGATCCAATCAGGGTTCAGTTGTGTGTTTGTTGTCTATTCTGAACCAATGGAAATAGTATGGCGGTAACATCTATCTCATTATCCAATAAGAGTTATGAATCCTTCTATCAGCGCTGTCAGAAAATGGAAATATTTTCTTCCACTTAAACTATGGTGACGCTGAACTAAAAAATCCATGAAAAATAAATAGGGTTGGCATACCTGTGTTTCTCTTTACTAGAATTCGGTTCAAAAATACCAAAATCAATGTTTAATCAAATTCAAAATAGCAAAAAGCAAAACTTATTTCATTTTTTTTTCTAATTTAAAAATCTGGTCTAAATAACAGTTGCATGCAGAATAAATAACTAAAATTTTTCATCCCATGATGTATAATCTTCTCTAAAAACTATGGGACAAAAATGTAAAAATAGATTAGATCAAAATGACGTAAACCTACTTTAAAAATCATCTTTTATTAGAAGAAAAATCTTTAAGATTTTTTTAATGCCTTTTCCCAGGAACTCTGTATACGCCATAACTTTACCCTACATCTTTGGACTTGGACACATTGGAAGGTAACCTTTGGTAACATCCATGTATAACCTCTCAATCATAACTTTACCCTACATCTTTGGACTTGGACACATTGGAAGGTAACCTTTGGTAACATCCATGTATAACCTCTCAATCATAACTTTACCCTACATCTTTGGACTTGGGCACATTGGAAGGTAAACTTTGGTAACATCCATGTATAACCTCTCAATCATAACTTTACCCTACATCTTTGGACTTGGACACATTGGAAGGTAAACTTTGGTAACATCCATGTATAACCTCTCAATCATAAAGTAATCTGGAAAAAAGCCAAGTTTCTCTCCTTGATAAAAATGAATGACTCTTTTATTAGATAAAAAAAAATGTTATGAAACTTTTTTCTAAAATTTGCTTGTGAATTAATTATCTATTTATGCAACTACCTTGTGTTATTATTTATTCGGGACATTATGTTGTTTTTTGTCGGGATTTTTACTTTTTTGGTTTGATGTTAAAATCTAAGGTTTTTTAATCCCAAACGTAGTGAGGGATTAAAAAAAACTTTGTTTTAAGCCGAAAACAGACCAAAAAAACTTAAATCACAACAAAAAAACACACTGTCTGTTTGTTTAATGAAATTCCGCGAAATACAGAAGAAACCGGGTATAAAATATGACTTATTTGCCTCGGAACAAATAAGAAACTTTTTATACCCGAGATCATGAAATTGCGTCATCAAATATGGGATTAAAATTCTCCCAAAATTGAATAAAATTCTTATTTCCCTAATATCAACTTCCCACATGCAGAAATTTGTAAGACAAATCACTTTGAACCGGATTAAATAATTTGAGCTAGGTCTAAAGACGATTCAACCACGTTTCTTGAATTGGTGATTTAAGTAGTTGTATCAGCGGTAGGTAGAGTTTACTGACCTAGCTCAAATCAATTGAATTTGGTACTAGGTCCCCTTTTTCCCCACTCTTATCGTAAAAAACTTGTTTCAGAGTTGGATCAGTTTTTCTAACACTCAGCATCACTATTGAAAGGTTGGATATTTTTAATTGTTTTTAAGGTACTGTGAATGTAATTAAAGTGACCTTTCATTAAAAGAATGTCCAATTCACAACCTCTTGAAAACCTCTTGCAATATCGGCATTGTCCTATTTACAACAATACCCTCAAAAGCTTTGTTAGATCAAGTGTGAATTAATAGATATCAAAGTTTATAATTTTTAAGTGACTTGCGCATTTCTACTGCATGAAAACATACACAATTTATTAGAAGTTAACAGTCTTAAAACTAAAAAATGACAATATCTTATTATTATAACTCATTATTGATTTAAATATATTTAAACTATAACTATATTTGATATAGAATATCTTTACTGTCAAAAGTAAAGATTTAATTTTCAGATTTGTTGCCGTGACCCGACCCTTGTATACTGAAAAAGAGCGGCTAAAGGTAAAAGATTTTATAAATATTTTTACTCAGAATTTCATTATCTTGGGAATCAAAAGTTTCTTAAAGCATACCAGTCAGTTACATAAAGAGATATTTTTTATTCATCACTTCTTAACAAAAACTTTTCAACATAAAAAGAATCAGCCATAAAAAAATATATTGTCGATTCATAGGAATTATTTTTATTTGTTAAAGATTAGTTTCCAAAACTGCAGTTAAGAAAATTGTCATTCCGAAACACCTTTTTCTCCAGCAGGGACTAATATTACGTTTTTTTTCTTCCTTACAATGCATCAAATTCAAATCACTTTTCCACAAAATAAGACATGTCCTATGTTTGTACGTACATTAATATTTTTTATGCAGTGCTTTGCATTTGTTGTTTTATGCATAGATCATTAATTTACTATTCCATTTGATATGTTGTATGTGAGGGGAGGAATGCCAACCGCAACACTTTCTCGTCCGAGCCACATTCTTCTAATTTTTTCGTCCAAGCCACCTCGAAACGATCTTATTTCCAATATTATTTTTTAAATTGTCCAATCCTTAAAGATAAAACTATTTTTTTTTATCTGAACACGTAGGGTATAGATAAAATATTGAATTTTTGTAAATCGAAAAAAATAGAGCTGTAATTGAAATAAGGTCTACAAGTTATAGGGTGTCCCACGAAACATGACAGTTAGTAAATAGTTTAAAATGCCTTCTTTAGGGTTTCCAATCGGAATTCCGTTGCGCGGAATTGCGCGCAATGGTTGCTGCCGCTTGCGCCATTTCATTGCGCGCAATTGTGCTGTAATTGCGAAAAATCAAGCAATTAAATATTTGCGGAATTGCACGGAATTGTGTGCAACGGTATTGCTTTTAAAATTAAAAATCATTAATTTTAACTGTTTGACTTACAAATATATGCAGCAAATACAATTTAATTTTCAAATAATCGAGGGCCGAGTTTAACTCGTTTCAACAGCTACTAATTAGCAATGTAATATGATACATTTTTTATTTGCTCAAATTGGAAACTCTTTTTGTTTAAAATTGTAAGGTTTGTTTAATCAAAATTTGATATGCTACAGTACAGTGAGAACCAGAAAACTATGGAACAAAAGGACAACATCACAGTGTATTTGATGTCGAAAGCATAAAACATTAATTAGTACCTTAGTAAATCATTTATTCAGTTACATGGGACTGCTTAAGTCTAAACTGTCGTCTTCCTATGCCAGAGTTTTCTGGTTATCATGCTGCAAATGAATATGTTAAAACAAAAGATAAAGCCTAAATTAAATTTTCTAAGCATTTGAGACTAGATTGTTAGTGAAGTTCAGTTTATTGTATGCCACTACCAAAGTTTAGATTGTATTTTTCTTGTTGAAAGGAATTGCGCATAAATTATTTGCATTTATGGCGTGCCGTAACGTTTAAATTGAATATTATCAAAAAATTGATACACAAGCGCAAGAAAGTTGCGTGCAATTTTGGTGCGTTTATTGCGCGCAATTATTACGGTATTGTGCGCAATTAAATTCACTTGCACGCAAGGGCTCTTAATTGCGGGTAAGTAACGTTGGAAACTTTAGCTTTCTTCCATACTGTATTACCTTTCTTCCATATTAAGCAGGGGCAAAAAATAAAAATATTATATAGGAGTCATATTGTGGTAAGATTAATTTCAAATTAAAATATATTTGAGCAAAAGATTTTTAAGCGAAATAAACTATATCTATAAAGCCCATTTATTCGGGACATTNGGGGGGGGCTTGTTTAAGGAGGGATATTTAAACATTTAAAAAAATTTGATATAAACAATACCCTTTTAAAACAAAATACTGAATAACAGTTTACACTTAAAAAAATCTGTTCATTCCTCTGAGTTATTTCATAAAATCTTTGATGTAAATATTCAGATTCTCGTACTTCAAGTAAACTTCTACCAAAGGTGTCAACCTATCTCTAGTACGCTAACTTTTAAATGGTAGAGTTCATGTCCAGGAAGGTTAAAATGTTCTCCTGTAGGCTGCACTGGTTTAAATGGTAGAGTTTAAGTTAGTATCAAGATAATAAGAACGCGTTCCTGATTTTAAACGTTTTTTTAAGCTAATATCCAATCTGTTCTGTTCCGTTCGTTTCGTTCCGTTCAAATATTTTTAAAACGCGTTCTTTACGTTACGTTTTATTTTGGAACGATGGAATTGTTCTTGATGGTTCCGTTCATTCTTGTGAAAGAAAGACTGTTCTTTAAGAACGACGCCCAGCCCTACCTGTACTGGGTTCTGACGTAGGCGAGGGTCATGAGCTAGAATCACTAGAATTGTATGACTACCTTACCCTATTCCAGTATTCATGGTAAATACATAAATTGTATTTATGCTCCATGTTTCGTGTTTTGCAGTCGGTAAATACAACTTTATATCATTCTTTATTATACGATAAATTTGATTATAGAATATCCTGATGGTTGGATCTGCTACATTTTCTATTCTCTACAATATCCCAAGGTAAATTACAAAGACGTTAAAATGTCGGTCGAAAATCAACCTAATTTCATTGGTTCGGTTCACGACGGTATAAACGGTTTCTCTATATGTTGCTGAGACAAGGAAGGAAGAGAATCCTTGCAACGCAAACTCAAATTTTTTAATCCCTATATCTTTGCAACCTGACGATGTAATCCTTTGAAATTTCAAACTTAGATTATTTGATCTTACAGAATTTATGGCTTGAAATGTCTAAGGTCTACGACACTGGGTTGCAAAGATATTGGGATTAGAAAAAAAGAGTTTGTTGCAAAAACTCAATTCCTCTGTAAGAGTTTAAAAGTTTTTGAGGAAAGAAAATGAAAGTGTTTTCCTGATTTTTCTCAAGATAAAGTTTAACTTGAGCATCCTTGTCATTCGTAAATACCATACTCTGATTGCCTTGGAGGGTCAGGTGTAATTTCAATCCTCTAGCCTATAATAGCCCCCACCCTTCCCTTGGTCCAATCCTAGCCCATACCCTGCCCCTGGTTCAATCCTAGATCAGTTACAGCCCCTCCTTCCCCTGGTTCAATCTTCTTGTTATTGTGACATCAAGTGTTCTATCTATATTGTTATTATTCTATGTTACCAAGTTAATCATATTTGCAGACTTAACGTTGGTAACGTTTCTCCTACATTTCATTAGTTTTTCTCCTGACTATATAACCTCTTTGAAATTACCAAGTCGCTTGTTAGCCAGCTTTTCCTCTATCAGTTTATTACAAAAACCATATGATTTTCTTCGTAATATTTCACTTTTTGGGATAATTCAGAAATTATAAAATAGCAAAAACATTTTATCTTCAGGATAAAAATGAGATATTCCTTACATTCTATACAAAATTTCTAACACAAAGTTAGATATTTCGACTTTTTTCTTGGTTAAATATAGCATTCATAATGTTAAAAATCCCTCTAAAAGTGTTAGTTTAGGTGAGATGAATGACAGCATGAAGACTATTTATATCCCAGCAGTTTCTTCACTCAGAACGGTACTTTAAGAAAATAAAGATAAAGAATTTCTTCAATGTTTAAATGGCCAAATTTTTATATTTGTATTAACAAGTGCAAGAATCTGATTAAACATTCAAGCATTGGAAAACAGCTTGTTCAAAATGTTATTAAAATTTGGAGAAATCATTGTTTAAAAAGAATTATGAAATAATTCTTTTTTTCAGAACACAACCTACCTCACTATTCATTTCTGGTCAAAGGAAATATATATATTCAGATTCAAAAGTTGTATTTTGTGCAAACTTCAAAGAAATGACATGGAAAGGGACTTCAGGTGTATTTGTAGTTCTTTAAAGACAATATACATCTGAAAGTCAATTTTAAAAGAAAACTAATATTTTCAAATAATCAATTTATTAAAATATTTGGTTAAATATTATTTCATGTTTCCCCAAACACATGTTACAAAGCTTGCTGATAAGTTTTTGTAGAGGAATTTTTTTAAAATTTTATTTCACAAAGTTAGTTAAGAAAATTATTTTTTAGTTTTTACAATTGTCTGAGAAAACTAAGGCAAGCATTGATGAAAAAAAAATTTTGAAAATTTTAAAAAATCATCAGATTTTTAAAGTTTTTTAAAAGTTTTTTCCCCTTTTTAATAATTCTAAAAATTATATTGGGTATAGTTAGTCCTTGTTGAGCTAGGACCGTATGTTCTTCTCACAACACTCAACATTATCATTATTATCAGGTAATTGAAATTTTTATTTGTCATCCACGTCATACTAGAATATATATCTATATTTTACATATTTCTATTCATATCTTGATCCTTTTTATTTAAGAGTTATTGAGAAAAACAAACAAAAATATCTTTCTACAGTATTTAACCAAAAATATTAAACTTCCTATAGTATTTAATCAAAAATATTAAACTTTCTACAGTATTTAATCAAAAATACTAAACTTTCTACAGTATTTAATCAAAAATATTAAACTTTCTACAGTATTTAATCAAAAATATTAAACTTTCTACAGTATTTAACCAAAATTATTAAACTTTCTACAGTATTTAACCAAAATTATTAAACTTTCTACAGTATTTAACAAATAATATTAAATTTTTTACAGTATTTGACCAAAAATATAAAATTTTCTACAGTATTTGTAAAAGTTTTGCGGCCCAGGTCCTGACCATATTCTGCAAGCATTTTATTTTACATGCTTTCTCTCAGAGAGAGTGAGGTGTTGACACCTCAACTGCTTTCTACTAACTTTTGATTATGAGATATTATCACAGTCTTATGATATTCTTATTTGATTTCTAAAGACTCTATTAAAATTCAAAGTTGGCGGAAACTCTATCATCATTTTTCGAGATTTTATCAAAAATTGACATAAAGTTTCTTTTAACAGAATTGTCTTCGATATTTTTTTTTATAGCTTTCTGATATATATTCAATATGTGTATAATTATACTATTTATTTGATCATAATTATATCTTTTAACTATTGATCTAATGTTTAAGCCCACATCATGCTAAATTATTAGTTTTTTTTTTCAGCAAATCATATATAAAATTTTTATTTTTTCTCGATGTTTACTATTTTGTCAGAAAAGTGCAAAAGTATGAAAAAAACATGTAAATTTAAAGACTATTAAATTATAGACCAAAACCCAATTTGATTTAAATTTGATCTCGCCCCATGGTTAGTCCAGGGTGACATATTATTATCTTTAAAAGATTGTTTGCAGTCCCATCAGCCTCTTGACACTTATATAGCTTTAATCTATTAACGAACTTTTAAAAGGTTTTAATTTAATGACTTTTATATGAATTTTTATATGGATTCGCAAAGATTTTCTTTCAGAAAATTCGTGTTTTTATTTACACTTCCACTTAATTGAAATAGTTTAAACTATTTTATTTTCTAATCTTTATCAGATAATTCAAGCATGAAATTAAATGCAAAATATTTTTAAGTTCCGTATTCCATAATTTTCTGCCAGAATTAAATTTTTTTTTACAGAAGTTCTATATGTAAAACTGGCAGAAGTGCCCGGCGTTGCCCGTGGAAAAAAAAAAATATTTTGAAAAAAATGTTCGATTTTTTTTCGCCAATATAGCACCTTATATACGAATGTCTTGTTTTATTATATAAATAATACCGTTCTGATTTTTTAATGTATAAGTTAGCGTAGCTTGGAGTCAAATTACATACTCATGAAATATGGATGCGATGTTCTTAATAACATTTTCTTGTTATTCAGTTCTCAGAAACAATTTTTATCAAATCAACCTGTCTTCACACTGAGGAAACCTTGACAAGATAACCCCTTTGTGCAAAATGCATTTCAAAATTAATTTATTTATCTTAAATCAGCTTTCGTTTTTCCTTTCACAGTGTCACCTAACCCTAACATTTCATCCTTATGTCGAACTATCCACAGATAGTGCTTATTTTGGTTTAGAGGAACAGTGTTCTTGCAACAAACTCAGGTTTCTATTTACCGTATCTTTTCAACCAAATGTCTTAGACATTAGATATTTCAAACTAAAAATTCTGCTAACTCAAATAATCAAAATTTGAAATATCAAAGGTTGACAGGTTGCAGATATAAAGGAATTATATAAAATATTTGTTTTAGGCAAAAACTTAGTTCAAAATCATTAACATATTGTAATTGTGGCAGGGATATTTAACGATTTTTTTATAGAGAGTATCCTAATCAACATGGGAATTGAGTGGCGCATTGGAGTCCGTTTTGTTAAGAGTTAGTATTGTAATACCTGATATCAAAATTCAAAATATAATTATCTCTGATAAAGTTTATTTTATTAAAACATTAAAAGGCTGTTTTGATGTAATATCTCTACAAGAAAAACAGTGGAGAAGGACAAGTTAAATTTGTTTGTCTTGTTTTTTAAGTAATAAATACAGTGATAACCAGAAAACTCTGAATTAGGATACGACTTTTAGACTTAATATTACTTTAATACTCCAATGAGTATGGAACACAAAAATTGTGCAGTGTAAACAGGCCCATGTTACTTAATTAGTGACTTTTTAAGTGTCTAGTAAAACTGTTTACTATTTAACAACATCAAATACTCTGACTTACTGCTAAATAGTCGTCTTCCTACTTCAAAGATTTCTGGTTATCACTGTAAGTACAACAGCATTATATCGCAGCATACACAAACAAATTTTAACTTTCTATGGGTCATAGCTTTCTGAGCATTTAAAAAGACGATATCCAACTCGTAACTCTAAATACAATGTTTATTGTGAGTTGGTAACTAATATTGTGATAATTTGCTTTCGAGATTATAATCAAAATACTAGGATACAGGCCGTGTCCTACGAGACATGACAGTTGGTAAATAGTTTTGAATGTCTTCTTCCATATACTGTATTAAATACAGGGTGTCCCACGAAACATGACAGTTGGTGAATAGTTTAAAATGACTTTTTCCATTATTTGTTCAGTTGTTTGATACCAAAGATCAATGAAAATATTATATGGGAGTCATGTTATATTAAAACAAAAGATTTGTTTAACTAAAATAACTATTTATTAAATGTCATGTTTCGTGGGACACCCCGTATTAAAAACATTTAATATTATAATCACAATGCTAGGGTATCTACAGTGTAAAAGTCTCAAATATTCTCCTGAAAAAATATTTAAAATATGTTCAAACTTCACATTTTTTTCAGAGCTAGACAATCCTCCCAAATCCAACCCAGGTCTGCGCAAGCATCCAAAAAGGTAAAAAATCTGGCATTTTTAGGAATCTCTTTCAAAACCCTGAGAACAGCCACCCCTCCTTCGGTCTGGTTCCAGTTTATATATTCCTATTTAAGTTTACCTGGATAAGGATGAGAAACGGTTTCTCATATCTTGTCATGTTTCTCATATCTTGTCATGTTTCTCATATCTTGTCATGTTTCTCATATCTTGTCATGTTTCTTGTCATGTTTCTCATATCTTGTCTTGTTTCTCATATCTTGTCATGTTTCTCATATCTTGTCTTGTTTCTCATATCTTGTCATGTTTCTCATATCTTGTCATGTTTCTTGAAATATAATTATCTGATTCTTTTCATGGATTTCTTTTTATCATTAAAAATCATGTCAAAGTTAAACTAAAATGAAGTATGTTTATAGTGAATCATTGTGTACTCTTGATTAAAACGAGACTTGAAATAATGTTGATGAAGTTCTTAAATAATTGATAATTCGAATAATTTAGGATCAATGATAATTATACATATGTTTTTTATCTTCAGCTGGACAAAAGTAAATCTTTTCATATTTTTTTTTCAGGAACTGCAGATGGTTCAGATTCTGCTCCTAATCGTGATCATGTTTGTCATCTGTCAGAGCTTCAAGATCATCCCAGACCTCTATGAAGTGTTCCAGTGTTCCTTCGGTAATATTTCTTTCTGATTTCAGAATTTCAAGAATATCTTATTATAAAGTAGTAGTTATCTTCTGATTATTTTGTATAACATTTGAAAAAAGCAATGACAACCCCAGAATTAGTCCCCTAGATGAGATATTTTTATGGGGTCATGGGTTTTGAGAAATTCCTGAGTAATTCTCAGGTATTTTTCCCGAAGAAATTCCTGAGAATTTCCCAAAAATACCTCTCCAGAAATTCCTGAGAAATTTTCAGGACTTGGTCACCAAGTTTACGGATTTCTGGGGGAACTAAATGTCAAAATAAATTATGAGAAATTGCTGGAAATTTCTGCCGAATTTTCCCTCAAGAAATTTCTGAGAATTTTCCGGAGTACTTCTCCGGAAATTCCTGAGAAATTCTTAAGACTTGGTCATCAAATTAAAGGATTTTTAGGGAAATTAAACAAGAGATATAGTTTAGAGAAATTCCTGAGAGCTACTCAGGAATTTTGCTACTCGAAATTCTTGAGAAATTCCCCAGAAATTCCAAGAGAAATTCCAAGAGAATTTCATAAGTCTTGGTCATCATATTAACGTATCTTTATGGGAAATGAATAAATTCTGAGAGATTCTCCGGAACTTCTGAGAATTTCTTCAGAATACTTCTCCTGAAATTCCTCAGAAATTCTAAGAACTTGGTCACCAAATAAGCAGATTTTTAGGGGAACTAAATGAGAGAATCAGTTTTAAAAAAATTCCATGGAATTTTTCCCAAATTTTCCCGCAAGAAATTCCTGAGAATTTCTCCGGAAAACTTATCCGAAAATTCCTGAGAAATTCTCAGGACTTGGTCACCAAGTCAAAACATTTTTAGGGAAGTTTAATTAGAGACAAAGTTTAGAGAAATTCCTGAGAGTTTCTCCGGAATTTTCTCCTGAGAAATTCTCCGGAAATTCCTTAGAATTTCTCAGGATTTGGTCATCAAATTAGCGAAATTTCAGGGGAAATGAATAAGAAAATTAGATTTGAGTAATTCTTGAGAAATTCTCCAGAATTGTTCCACTAGAAATTCCTGAGAATTTCTCCAGAAACCCCTGAGAAATTCTCAGGACTTGGTCACCAAGTTAAAGGATTTAGAGAAATTCCTGAGAGTTTCTCTGGAATTCCCCCCCCCCCCGAGATTCTTGAAATAGTCTCCGGAATTTCTTGGTGGACTCCTAGCAATTCTTGAGAATTTCTCAGGACATGGTCATTAAATTATTGCTTTTTTACTGTAAGTGATCTAGGATCCTATTGCACTTCTGGTGTTATATTATGATCTAGGATCCTATTGCACTTCTGGTGTTATATTAATCTAGGATCCTATCGCACCCCTGGTGTTATATTGATCTAGGATCCTATTGCACCCCTGGTGTTATATTAATCTAGGATCCTATTGCACCCCTGGTGTTATATTGATCTCCTAATGCATCCCCGGTGTTAATTGATCTAGGATCCTATTGCACTCCTGGTGTTATATTGATCTAGGAGCCTATTGCACCCCTGGTGTTATATTAATCTAGGATCCTGTTGCACCCCTGATGTTATATTAATCTAGGATTCCATTGCACCCCTGGTGTTATATTAATCTAGGATCCTATTGCACCCCTGGTGTTATATTGATCTAGGATTCTATTGCACCCCTGGTGTTATATTAATCTAGGATCCTATTGCACCCCTGGTGTTATATTAATCTAGGATCCTATTGCACCCTGGTGTTATATTAATCTAGGATCCTATTGCACTCCTGGTGTTATATTAATCTAGGATACTATTGCACTCCTGGTGTTATATTGATCTAGGATCCTATTGCACTCCTGTTGTTATATTAATCTAGGATCCTATTGCACTACTGGCGTTATATTAATCTAGTACACTATTGCACTCCTGGTGTTATATTGATCTAGGATCCTATTGCACTCCTGGTGTTATATTGATCTAGGATCCTATTGCACTCCTGGTGTTATATTAATCTAGGATCGTATTGCAATTCTAGTGTTATAATAATCTAGATCCTATTGCACTCCTGATGTTATAATGATCTATATTTGTTATTTGTATATTGTTATAATTGTCAATTTTCAATTTGTATATTGTTGTAATTGACAATTTTCAATTTGTATATTGTTATAATTGACCACTTTGTATATTGTTATAATTGACAATTTTCAATTTTTATATTGTTATAATTGACAATTTTCAATTTGTATATTGTTATAATTGACAATTTTCAATTTGTATATTGTTATAATTGACAATTTTCAATTTATATATTATTATAATTGACAATTTCCAATTTGTATATTGCCATTATTGGCAATGTTCAATTTGTATATTGTTATAATTGACAATTTTCAATTTGCATATTGTTAACCCTATTCCTGCTGGGGGGGGGGGTCAATTTGACCCCCCCCTGTAGTTTTTTTACGTAACTCAAAAAGTATTGGTCTGAGGCTGTTGAAATTTTCTGACTTTTCTTACATACCCAAAGCCCTCCCTTTAGGCCTAAAACCGGGCTTTAATACTAACTTATCCTGGTTTTCAAGTACCCCAGCAGGGATAGGGTTAAAATTGACAATTTAAAATGTGTAGGAGAACGAAGAATCCCTGCTTGTTGGGAGAATCCGCCTAAGGTACAGCTAAAGTTGAAATGTAAAAAATATGATAATTCAAAAATCGTTGAATAGTTAACAGATCAGAGATATTTAAAAATGAAAGTATTGATATTATATCTTTTGGAAACATAAAGCAAGGTTACTTTGAAAATTTTTATAGATAATTATAATGTTCGGAGAAATACACATTGGGTTAGAACTGAGACTCATTTTTCATAAAAATGCATTTTCTTAACATTGGTTAAAGGGGGGGGGGGGAGGGGGTAGACATTGATCGTGATAGAATGTTATTCTAAGATTGAGTCAATAAATTTTAAGATTGTTTTGCAACAATTTTCCTTCCATTTTAACTTTTATTTAAGGTTGTGAACACTCTGTCAATCATATCACACTTGGCGCTGTCAATTAATTCCTCAGTCAATTTCTTTGTGTACGTCGCCTGGGGATCAAAATTCAGGTATTTGCCCGTGAAAATTGGTCCATTCTGGAGCCTTTCAAATTTAGACTAAAGTGGCATGTAAAAAAAATATTCGCCTTAAACCCTGATGTAATTCATTTAAATTATACTTAAAGGGACTGTAAGCATAATTTCAAGTGACCCTCCATGTAAAAAGGGCAATGTTCGACTTACAAAGGTACTCTTTAAGAGAAAGTAAATATTTATTTTCTAGAAAGTAACTATTGTATTAAATGCCGTACTCTTAAAACTTCGTCCAGAACTGTATCAATCCAGGCACAACTCAATCCAACTTTGCCATCAATGTTAAACCGGACACAATCTCGGCAGCTGTCAATGTCAATAGGCACACAAGCTTGTAATCAATTAATGCCAACCCAATGGGCAGGATCTCGTCAGCTATCAATGTCAACACGTACACAAGCTTGTAATATATGAATGCCAAACCAATGGACATGATCTTTTCAGCTATCCATGTCAACAAAGACACAAGCTTGTAATCTATCGATGCAAAACCAATAGCATGATCTCGTCCGCTATCAATGTCAACACCGACACAAGCTTGTAATCTATTAATGCCAACCCAATGGGCAGGATCTCGTCAGCTATCAATGTCAACACTGACACAAGCTTGTAATCTATCAATGCCAACCCAATGGGCATGATCTCGTCAGCTATCAATGTCAATAGGCACACAAGCTTGTAATCTCTCAATGCCAAACCAATGGGCACAATCTTGTCAGCTATTAATGTCAATACAGTCATAAGCTTGTAATCCATCAAACCAATGGGCATGATCTCAGCTGGTATGTTTCAATGAGAACCAAATAACTCTCAATACTGTAATCAAAGCTGAGTCTCTGCAGTATCAACTAATGTCTTCTAGACATCTATCTTACAAGTTAACATATGCACAGCATAGTTTATGTTCAGGTGTATGTATTTACAAGATTAGTGTTGATAGCTCTAACATCATTTACAGCGTAGTTTAGTTTAAATGTATTCTAAAATATGATAAAATTTCAGTGCAACTAACTCATACGAAAAATATTCCGAGAGACGGTTTTACAATTTATTTTACTTCATACAAACATTTATGAAAGAAAATAAAATACAATCGATATGCAAAATAAGAAGCAGTATTTGGTTGAAGAGTGATCAAGTTAATCTCCAGCCTCACATAGAAAGGGTTCGTAGAGAACTGACTCCGACATCCCCCCGCCAGGGTTCTATCCCTAGCACCCTGACCCGGCGGGTCAATACCCCTGGCACTATGCTACCCTGAGATAAGGAGTAGCCTCGCTTGGTCTATAAATAGAAATAGCTTGGATTGGATAGAAGCTAAACTTAGCTTCAAGCAAACAACATAATAAACCGTCATTTCTATATGTATATACAGCAGGGGTATAGTACCCTTAACTATGATCGCAACGATCTTAAGATCCCTTGAACCGCTGATCATAAAAGATCAACAAAAATCACAACATCATTACAGTATGTATTTACAAGATAAGAGCGGATAAATATAAACGTAGTTAATCTTATCACAATATAAGCTTTAATCTTATATTATGTAGTTCTGGTTTTACTTTTAGCAATATCGATTAATAACGATGTTTTCATCGGTTATTTTGCATAAAGGGGACCTACTTCATGAATTTTTTTTATGGAAAAAGCTAAAAAGTTCAGAACTTCTAGGACAAAATAAGAAAAAAGTTTCGAGTTTCTTGTCTTCATTAGACAAAAGTTAAAGAAATTATTAAAAAATAAATTTAAAAAATATTAATCTGGGAACATTTTAAAATTTTTCAAATATTTATTAACTTTGAAATTAAATAACTGAGGGGCAAATTTCAACTCTAAGTAATAGCTATTGGTTTTTAGAACCTTTTTGAAAAATTACAGATGCCCGGAGTTGCACCATTTTCAGTTATCACTAATTAGATATTGCTAAAAAATGCTGGGTTTGGTTCCGTGGTTCTTCTAAGGTCCCCATTGAAAATTTGAGGCAAATCGGTCTAAAGGTTCCTGAGTTATGATCGGACAAACAAACACCCAAACAAACTAACAGACAAACAGAGATTACAACTTTATATAAATAGATACAAGATTACAATTAAGCGTATCTATAAGTTTTACAAACATCCTAATTTAATAAATCGATTTTTAATGTAGCTATTTATACCTATTAAAAATGTATCTTTTCATAAATATTTTTATCTTTACATAGTTACAAAGTACAATCGTAAAGGTCGAAACTTGTTAAAAATAAAACAGAAAGCTAGACAAAATGATGAAATTAAATGTTGTATTGTTAAGGAAAGCATTGATGCGGTTAATTCAATCAAAGTTTCGTGGCTCCAGGTAAACTTCTTTGTTTACATTTTCTTGGTTGCATCAATTAATATAATGTGTTCCTTTGGTTAGGGCTGCGGGCATGTTCCGACTTTTCTTTAAATCGTTTCGTTCCGTTCTAGAGCATGACCCTTCAGCTAGCTCGTTCTGTTCTCGTTCCTTTCTCGTTCCTTTCTCGTTCCGTTCCGTTTTATCCTTAGTCTAAGAACGGTCATTCCTTTCCGTTCCGTTCTTGGTGTTCCTAGTCAAAGAATTCCTTAGTCAAATTCCACCCAAAGAGAATTGGTTTCAATATGTGCGCAGAGTATACGCAACCGCAATTAACTTTCTTTGCATTATAACCTTGAATATGAAAGGCAAATATATCCTGTTACATATTAGAAATCTTAAACATTTTCGTTCTCCTTAATAGCGTTTCAATAAGAGAAATTAGAATTGAAAACATTTAAGAATTAAATCTTACGTAAAATAAACTTAAATTTCACTTCATTCATTTTTTCAAAATTCCTCGTTCAAAATATTTAAATGTTAGAATCTACACCAAGCTAATTAAAATTTAATTACAAAATATTATTTGAAGAAATATCAAGGGTTCCATGTAGGAGGGATGAAGGGATTTCTCAAAAATATAAATACTCACAATATCCGAAATATATAAAATTTCGTTTATTACGGCTACTATTACGACTACTTTTTCTCGCTTTTTTAAACGTTATAAAAAGTAATTCCTGGTCTAAAATTCCAAAAACTTTGATTTATTCGAGTTGCTCTAGCTTGGGTTTTCCGATATTCTGATAAAAATGTTGTGTAACTGTTTGAATATTCTGTAGGAACGAAGACAGACAAAATCTTGAGTTAAGAATGTTCAACAACACAACACAGGGGAAACCTTCACCAAAAGGTGATATCTTCTATCTATAAACTATAAATATACTTTGCTTGGGTGTCTGTTTGTTTGTTTGTAACCAATAATCGTTAAAACGAATAAGCCTAATTTTTTGTGGGACCTCACGCGACCCCAGGTAAGATTTATGGATACTCGTGATCCCAGGTAAGACTTATATACTAAGTATCAGTTGTGAAAAGTTAAGAAATGACCAAACAAACACAGTGTAGACTTACACAGTACGATCAGACACAGTACAAACATACACAGCACACCCAGGCACAGCACAAACATACACAGCACAAATTTACACAGTACAGACATACACAGTACAAACATACACAGTACAAACATACACTGTACTAACATACACAGTACAAACATACACAGTACAATCAGACACAGTACAAACATACACAGTACACCCGGACACAGTACACCCAGGCACAGTACAAACATACACAGTGCAGACATACACAGTGCAAACATACACAGTACAAACAGAACAGAACAGAACAGGGACTAGATGAAAACTTTGTTTTTGCAAATATGACCCCTGATATTATAAATGATGCTCTTAAAAAACTAAAAAGTAAAAACAGTTCTGGACCAGACAAAATTTCAACAAAGGAAATGAGTTTTTGCCACAAGCTCAAATTTTATAATCCCTATTTCTTTAAAACCTGATTCTGTAAACCGTTGATATTTCAAACTTACGCTTTTTGGTCTATCAGAATTCATAGTTTGACATATCAAAAATCTACGACATCGGGCTGCACAGATATAGGAATTATAATTTTGAGCTTGTGACAAAAATTCATTTCCTTTGCTAAAGTCTATTATACCAATTATCATGGGTCCTATCTGTCATTTATTTGATTTATCTTTCATAACTGTGTTTATTCCTACCACTCTTAAAACTGCAAAAATCGTCCCAATCTTCAAGGCTGGGGAAACGGATAATTTTACAAATTATAGGCCTATAAGTTTGCTTTCTTCGTTTTCAAAACTTTTAGAAAAAGTGGCAGCAAATCAAATTATGAAATATTTGAATAAATTTAAACTACTTTATGAACATCAGTATGGCTTCAGAGCAAAGCACAACACTACTCAACCCTTAATTCATTTCTTAGATAAAATATACAACGCACTAAATAAACCTGTATCCGAATATACTCTGGGAATTTTTATAGATTTAACTAAAGCTTTTGATACCTGTGATGTTGACATTCTACTGAGCAAGCTTGAA